TATCCGGCTGGGGCTGTCAGGAGTTGTTACCGCTGGTGCGGCTCCGCACGGCTCCAGTCCCGCGTTGCCTTGGGAAGGGAAAGGCAAAAAGGAAGAGCCGCGGCGGTGCTTTGCAATGGCAGCAGCGGCTCCTGGTTTTGCCTTTCCCTTCCCAAGGCAACGCGGGACTGGAGCCGCGCGGAGCCGCACCAGCGGTAACAACTCCTGACAGCCCCAGCCGGATACCTCAGCGGAGCTCGGGCGGTGCGAGCCTCGTTTCCTTGGGAGCTGGGAGAAGGCTGGCTGCTCCTTTCGGCTTCACGGGATTCGTTTCCACGGTGCGCAAAAGTGCCTCAGCCGCGGGCAGCCGCAGTGCTTCCCAATTACTATTTGCCAGCGTATAAGACGACCCGGCATATAAGACGACCCCCCCAATTGGAGGCATCTTTTTCAGGGCAAAAAAGTCGTCTTATACGCCGGCAAATACGGTATTTGGTTTGTGAATAAGTAACAACATCAGAAGCAGAAGCAGCAGTAGCAACAGGAAGGAAACTTTGAAGGCCTTCTGCTCAGCTAGGAGACCCCACACCATTTCAAACCAACGGATGTCCAGTCTCTTCTTAAAAGCCTCCAGTGATGGAATACCCACAACTTCTGAAGACGAGCCATTCCACTGGTTGATTGTTTATGTCAGGAAATTTCTCCTTAGTTGAAGGTTGCTTGTCTCCTTGGTTAGTGTCTATCCATTGCTTCTTGTCTTGCCTTCTGGTGCTTTGAAAAATAAGTTGACCCCCTCTTCTTTGTGGAAATCCCTCAAATATTGAAACACTGCTGTCATGTCACCCCTGGTCTTTCTTTTCACTAGACTAGAAATATCCAGTCACTAATGCTATATCACTATAAAGGGGGCATATTGGAATGCGATAAATAAAGATAATCATATAATTTATACATTTTCAAGAAACAATGTGAATTTCAAATATTTTCAAGATGCTGACAATTATATTTGAACTATAGGATTTTTTTTTCCTTCTCATTTTTTTCACACAGGAATCAGTCAGAACAATACGTGCCAATTTGTCTTAATTTTTAAAAAGCATCATTTTTTTTTAACTTTAGCAGCTGGTTTTTCTTTACATGTTCACAACTGAAGCCAAATGAGAACAGTTTCTGAAAGTTTGTTCCTCAAAAATAAAAAAAACACATGTGATTTGCAGCATTTACTTCCTCAAAAGGGTTTTGCTTTAATAGCAAATTCCTTATTTTACAAGCCATGCCTCTATGAAAGCAGAGTGAAGAGCTTGAAATATAGATAAAATCATGTGGAAAAGTAATAAAATATCTATGTTTTATTTTGTGGACAAAGAATCCAATTTATCTAACTTCTTCCAACAGGCAAGTAGTCCTACTACAGGGACAGCTCCCGGAAGTCAATCACGGTTATCTGTCTGCCCATCTACTCAGGACATCTGTAGGTATGTGCTAAATTAATATTCCTAATCTGTTTAGTACATGTCTTCTTTGTCTAATGAGCTATGTATATTGCTTTTGTCTAATTTCTTTCGTGTATTTCCACCCATCTGCTTTTTTGTTTGTCATTTTCAATATCATGTTCATTTTCCATTTGATTCTATTACTTTATTTATGTTCTCTCTCTCTCCCTCCCTCTTTGTCTCTGTCTTCCCTTCCCTTCTCATTTTATCACTATCCTTCTCCTTGTCCTCTTGTTCTGTTTAGATCTTCCACTTTGCATGACCTATCAGAAGATAGATTTGAAACATCAATCCATGTCATGGGGCCGAGTTCTGCTAGGAAAAAGCATGTAAAAAAGGTGAAACAAGGTGTTAGGCAGAGAAAGAAGGCCGAGGAGAATTCTGAGGATATAGTAAAGCAAAGAAAAGACAAGGATGTCAAGTCACATCCCAAGATCACAAATCCTCGATGGAATGCCTTTTGCAAAACAACATCCGATTCTTCAACTTCAGATGAAAATTATTGGGCCCTAGTCAGAAAAAGAGATAGAGCCAAAATGCTGAGGAAAACGAGAAGACAGAACCCTTCAAATGTTTCTACAGATGAGCGTTGCAATAAGAACGCTATTGAACTTGCCACTATGGGAGTAAGTGGGGAAAAGAAGTCAGAAGCTGAAAGTTATAATCTAAATAATCCTAGGAGGACGGTTAGAAGGTATAAAGAAAGCTCCCTCTCATTATCTTCTGGGTCCTCTGTGGAACCCAACTCCTTGAGACGGTCTGGAAAACACCAGAATAGCCATCAGGATCCAGAACCTTCAGCTTACATTAGGAAAGGCAGAACAAGCAAGGAGGACAGTGGTTCGGAGAGAAGCACAGGCAGAGATATTTTTACAGTTACAGGAAATGGAACACCTGCTGAGACAGGGGCTTCTGTGAGTGTGGCTGCTCGGAAACCTCCTGCGTATTATGACTTATCTGAGGATTCTGAAGAATGCAGGTTTGTCTCCTCATTCAAAAGAGAATTGCTAGCTGACTATCGTAGATTACGCAAAAGATGTGGTTATGTTTTCTTTAACTCATGCTCCTTTTTGGAGTTTAGATGAGTATGATTACATGCTTAGCAATGAAACTTTAATTACGAAATTGTAAAAAACATTTGATACACAATATTGCACTATTTCAGATTAATAATAATACAAATAGATGTACAGTCCATTTCTCCTTAAAATAACCCATTCTTTTTCCCTTTCATTCTTTTTAACTAAATTGTGCGATAGCAACAGTTCAGTGAAAATCTTTGTTGTTGTTATTTGTAAGAACATCTTTCCAGTTTGCAAACCGTCATGTTTAAAGGCCCTCAGTTTGCCTTTATAAATATATTCTTTGCCTGACCTAAATTTAAATGTTCCAGAATTTATGCTGTCTATTTTGACCTCCTGTTTTGGGTCAAACCAAAATGCCCTTTATTAATATTTGTGGTAACCCATGTTTGAAGAATTATAGCTGCAAGACCAGGATGTTAATATTTATGGTGCTGAATATAATATAAACGTTAATGGTGTATTTCAAGAATATTATTCTAGTGACAGCACTCATTTATGGGTAACACAAGTACATTTGAGATTTTATTATTCTGGATAGATACAAATAGGTATAAATATTATGTACAGTAGATAGATATTTTCAAATTAATTAATGTTTGTAGAAATAAAGATTTTTTTTCCAGTCTGATATCAAAACATTAGATAAACAAAAAGTTCATCTCTAGAAATGAATAGTATACAAATCTTCCCCTTTGAAATATATGATAATAGTAGAATAAAGGCTCCAGCGGAAAACTAAATATCATTAGAAAACTGGTAGTATATTATATGCATGCCAAATAAAGTTAAATACTGAAAAATTAGTTATTGGATTTTCCAAAATGGGCTTTGCTTTAGATCTTTCTATTTTTTTGTGATACCATAAGAATTCTGAAATTATTAATTATATCACTGGGATGAATAATCCATATAGTTTATGAATCTCTAGATATAATATGTCTCATAAAGTTATTTTATTATAGTCACATCCTTTCCTATGACTAGAAAAAATATGGGCTTCTTATACTCTGAAAACGGAAATGATTTAAATGCGGTTGTGATTTTTTAGGCATAACATCTTTGACACATTGGGAATTCATTTTGAAAAATGTGAAAAAAGGCAACGTTGTTATTATACCCATCCATCTAATTATTTTAACCATCATTTAAATTGTGGACAAGAATTATCCTATAAAGATTTCTTGCTTGCACAACCACCTAGGGATTAGAGTGCATGTGGATTCTTATATGTTTTGTCATATTTTGCCATTTCCCATTAATGGCCTAATAAATATTTTTATTTTAGTACGGTCAGTAGCTCAGAACACGAGGAAACTGACATGCTCCTATGAGGACATTTGGGAATGACTAAAACAATGATAGATTATGCTGTCCTTACAGAATTTGTGGCATTAGTCCTTGTGAATTGGGCTCCTCCCCCTGCCCCCCCTTATACACAGTGTGTATAAAATATATTTTTAAAACATGCTGCAAAATCTTGTTACTTTGCTTGTTACTTTCTATCAACGATAAATTGCAGCTAAACAAGCAGAAAACAATTTAGGAGAAAGATTTACGATACAGTAAGCCTGAGTCAGCCAAAAGTCAGCTTCCTTTTTTCATAGCAAAAAATAAAGTTGCAATGCTCCAGTAAATTAAAGCCAATTTTGGTTTGCTTTTGGTTAGTCAGTTTCTTCAGAAAGGCGTCGTTGGTACTGTCCAAGTTTGCTTGCTTTCTTGCAGACGTTTCATTACCCAAATTGGCTCACATCATCAGTGCTAGTTAAGGAGTGCTGTTTGCTGTCAATTTTATATTCTAAGGGTTTGCATGTCAGTGTTAGTAGAGTTGTCTTAGAGATTTTTAGAGATTGGGCTGTTTTCTGTTGGCTTCTTTGGCAGTTTCTTAATTGGGTGATTGTTTATTTTATTGTTGGTCTGATATTAACCTTGGAGTTAACTTATGCTGACCTGGGTGCTAATTACTGGTGGAGAGGTACTTGGGTCTTTTTATTCCTTTCTGGACGTCCTGGGTGATAGTCTCTTTTGCATAATCTATAGATGGTGTTAAGGTCTATGTGTCTATTGATGGCTGATTTGTCAGAGTGCCAGACTTCTAGAAATTCCCTAGCACTTTTAAACTTGGTTTAGCCTATGATGGTCACAGTTCCCCAATATACATGTTGTGAAATTAAAGAATTTTGTCTTGCTTAAAATTCTTTAATTTCACAACATATACAAAGATATAACCATAGTCTCAACTGGGAAAATGTAACCACCAAGCCAACATTGACAGGCAAGCCACAAGAATATAAACTGACAGCAAACAACACTCTTTACTAACACTGATGATGTTACCTAATTTTGGTAATGAAATGTCTGCAAGAAAATAAGCAGGCTCAGAGGGCACCAAGGAACCCTCATGTCAGCTCCCAGCTACAAATATTCTTTATTAGTTTTAGAAAAGAAGAAGAAAAAATGTAACAAAATATTTAAAAAGACAGGACAATAGTATTAAACAAACTCATTTGAATTTAACATGATTTACACTTGCATTCCACAACTGAAAAAAAAAAAAACCTACTTCTAAAAGGCCTTAAAATACAGTACATTTCACTAGGTATCATGTTTTAAATTGTCAGCTAGGTATTAAAATACTATTCATAAAAAATCTAAGCAAAGACACTGTGTTCCAAACACTGGACAACAACAACAGGTTGATGATCTTTTATTCTAAGTGTAATTCTGTTTGTATCTGCTGAATTTGTAATTTACAGAATTAGGAAATTATGTATTTCTTCAGAAGTTCCAATAAGCATTTTAGTGCTTCAAGTACGTAATAGTATACTCTTAAAAGCAGCCATGAACTGTATCCATACATTTATCACAAAGAAACAGCTGATAAATTGGAACTAGATTTCAGGATGCTGAAAATTATTAATTCTATTGCTGTAATGTGTATTGCTGGTTTATACAAAATAAAGCAGAACTGTTTTATACTATATAGTTTCTAGAGGAAGTGTATCATGTTTATGCTTCCTTTGCATATCCTGTTTGATTTTCTTTTTAAGTCTCAAAGCTATCTGAGGTTGCAAAACAGGTTATATACTTTGGAACATCTAGCCATTTGTTCAAACAATACACCTTCCTTATACGTGCAGACAAAATAAGTGAAATGTCTGTATGTGTAGCCTTCCAAAGTTTTTTTTCTCAAACGAACAGCATTTCCTATCCCAAAATTTCATAACTTTTTCTAATCTCTAATGAACTGCTTTATTAATTATAAAATGTTTCACTTGAACTGTCAAAATTAACTTTTTATACATATGGACACTCGATAGTTTCAAATAATTGGAAGAGAGGTATAGCTTCGGATCCAGAGGTGGTATTCAGCAGGTTCTGACCAGTTCTGGAGAACCGGTAGTGGAAATTTTGAGTAGTTCAGAGAACCAGTAGCGGAAATTTTGATCAGTTCGGAGAACCGGCAAATACCACCTCTGACTGGCCCTGCCCCCATCTATTCTCTGCCTCCTGAGTCCCAGCTGATCGGCTGGGTCTTTTGTTGTCCTGCACAGGAGAACAGAGCTGGAAAGCAGGTTGGTGGGGTGGGGAGGGAATGGGATTTTACAATATCCTTCCCCTGAAGTGTGGGGGAATGGAGATTTTGCAGGATCCTTTCCATGGCACGCCCACCAAACCACACCCACCAATCCATGTCACACCCACCAAGCCACACCCACAGAACCGGTAATAATTTTTTTTGAATCCCACCATGATTTGGATCCTGGTTTTCTAGAGAAACATCTTGAATCTGGGTGCAAATGTAATTGAAAGGATTTCATTCCTCACTACTTTCTCATTAGTTTAATTGTTCTCTGTCGGAGGAGCAACCAAGCAGGGCTGATTAGGCATCTTTTTTCC